AATAATAATAATAATAATAATAATAATAATAATTTTAACCAGGTGATAACCTACACTGCTGTAAATACATGCTATAAACATATTTCTAGAAAACCCACACAAGCCCTTACTGAAGACAAGAATAATATGCAAAGGAACTTTATTCGCGATTTCCTATGTCTTCTCTATTCTATCCAGGAAACCCAACCCACTAAGTAACAGGAGAAAATACACCACATTTTAGTATAATACAATAATGTCAGCCTGACCTGTGGTTTGAGTTCTACAATTTCATCCTGAGTGCCTCAGGTAAGTTCCCAGTCTTTAAGAGTCCTGCTCTTTGTCCTTACTCCTAAAAGGAAAGGAGGGGACCGTCCATGGGCTTTATTTTACCTATGGGGAAAGACAGTATAGCTACATTGTTTCAGTTTGTAAGGAGACATACCAGTGTTTTGTACTACATAGCTGTGGGGTAAGAGTCCCTACGCTGTGCCCTAAGGCTAGACTTCTGCTAATCTCTGGCCTCAGTGCCTCTGCTGACTTCTCTGCCTGACTTCAGCTGCCCCCGAGCTTCAGGGAACCAGGAGCGGGGCTAAGGCTCATTAGCATAGACTTTCCCCACTATCACATCCATGCACTTGCTCCTAAGCCCCATGGATGTAGTCACTGGCCTAAAACCAGAAGCCTGCAGCCTACTCACATCATTCCCAGGCCAGGGAAGCTGGCCATTAGCCTTGATGTTTTGGCCATTTCCTGTCTCTCTGGATGTTTCTGAAAGTACTTTCTCCTACCTGCTTTTTTGGAGGTGTTTCTACTGCTCTCCGTGCTGTGGAGAAGGGATAGGTGCAGACTCTGATATCTGACTGCATAAACTTCCTTGGCTTTGCTTCTTCCCTGACTTCTGATTCTTTTCTATTATGTCTTCATCCTAGCTGGAGCAGAAAGCCACAAGATCGTCAGAGGCAGGTCTTCCCTCCTCAAAGGAAACATCTACATTTTAGACATTCAAATCTAATTCTCTGTATGCAAATAAAACTAAAAGAAAATTTTAAGATAATTTCTTTCTTAGAAAAACCTAGCTTTTAAAGTTATTGTCTTACTCCAGTCTCTAACAGAAAAAAACAATCAAGAATATCTTTACTAACAGGTATCTGTCCTTCTCCTAAGGTACTTGAACCCTCTTTATGGAGTGAGAAGTTTCCAGGTAACAAGATTCCTAAGACATGGAGATATTTGAATATAACTCAAAAGAATGTTACATCTGCTGTGCAGTAATAATAAATGTAATAGCTGTTACCTCTGCTCTAGGGACTGTCATTTGATGTTTAACTTTCATAATAACTCTATGGAAAAAGGATTATTACCTCCATTTTGAAAAGAATGAAGGATACTCAGGAGGGGTAAGTGGCTTGCCTAAGGTCATGTAATTAATAAGAGGTGGTGCTGAAATTCAAACTCAGGTTTATCTAGCTCTGGAGCCTCTGTTCTAATCACTGTAATTCATCCAACCGAAAAACCATAATTGGAGTCACATAGAACTCTCCTTTGGTGGTTTAACTTTTCTGTTCAGTGAAAACAGCTGGGCACAGCGTTTGAGGACCAGGCTTTGAAGTGAGGCTTCGTCTTCTGCTTTATCTCTGTAAAACAGAGACAACAAGGCCAGCAACTCGCAAGACTGTTGTGAGGTTGAAGGGAATTAGACAGCACCAGCATTTGGCGCATAGGAGGTTGCAGCATCTGTTATGAAAGTCTCCGAAATGGTTTTCAATTTTTGACATTCATGAATATTTAAGTTGTGTCCTATTGTTTCTTTTTTTTCTCCCTTTATTTCCTAGAAATTAGCCTCTAGTCACTGTAGGAAGGAAAATCCTGCTGTGAATGTTTAGACAGAATTGAAGCTTTGAGAATGTGATGCTGTCAGAAATGTCATTGATTGTTTCAATGTGCTGTTTTTGCTGTGTGCCAGAAGAAGCAATTCCTTCAATGAAATGTTTCCATGTGTTGTTGTTATTATTATCATGATTGCCACTGTTGATAATGGTTTACCTTGGCAGAGGCAAGGAAAATGCCGAGAAGAAGAAAGTGCCGCAGACTTTGCAGTACGGCACACGCACATCTGAATCTACTTCCTAACATCTTCGAAAAATAGTTGAATTACTGTGACCCTCAGTTTTTGTTATTTGTGCTGAAACAACCGATATCTTCAATGATATGATATGCTTCAAATGTCTGTATAGCCGGTATACTTCAAGAGTTTGGTGAAAGTTCTTCTTTGTCACCTCTGCTTCCTCTTGGTCCTTTCCAATTACCTTAGGTGGCTGTAACTCTGTGTATGAGGTGTGTGTGTAGAGTGTATTTTTATTTCTGTAGCTCTACTTGTTATATAGTGAATATTATGAGTTAAGTTCATTCATGTATGTCTTAATGCTCAATAGCTCAGCATGTGACCTTATTTGGAATGGTAGGTGCTACAAATGTAATTACTTAAAATGAATTTATAGTAGAGGGGCGGGGGCTAACCCAGTAGGTCTAGTAGCCTGATGTCTGTGGTTTATTGAAAGGAACAGACAATGCTTAAAATTTTCTTTTTTCTTGACCAATTTTGAACGCTTGAATTTGGTAATCAGAATGACTGATCTGAAAACAACAATATGCAGTATAAGAAGCATTGTTGAACTCCTACCATCTTGTATGGTGAAGCTCTGCATCATTTCCAATGTTGTTTTTTTTAAATTGTTACTGTCTTTGATTGTTTGATCCATCTTACATTCTTATGTGTGGTGGACTGAGCAACTTCGTTGAAGACAACAGTGTGTAATGTAGCAACCATTGTAAATTCCTATCATTTTGTTTTGAGGTCATGTATCATTTGTGTTGTTTGGATTTTGTCTTCATGGCTGTTTTGTCAGTTTTTTAATTTTTAAAATAAAAAAGGGGAAATCTGGACATACATAAACAGAAAGAATATACTGTCAAGATGAATATAAACATGAGGATGCTTCTATCAGCTGAGGGATGTCAAACATTGCCAACAAACCACCAGAATCTAGATGAGATGGATAAAAAAATTCTCTGCTCTCAGAAAGAAGCAACGCTTCTAAAACCTTGGTTTTGGACCTCTGTCTTCCAGAGCTGGGAGACAATAAACTGTGCTCGGTTTGTGGTATTTGGTCATGACAGCTCTAGCACTTTTTTTTTTTTTTGGTTTTTTTTTTTTGGTTTTTCTCCGGTACCGGGAACCGAACTCACGACCGGCTCTAGCACATTAACAGAGCAAACAATGAGAACTACAACCTTCACTGAAATGTTTAGCTCAGAAATTCTATATTTCATATTTATTATTAATCTGTAATCATTTTAAAAATTAAATATTGCACTCAAGATAAAGGGGAAGTAAAGTTTATTCAGAGAAGAACTTACTAAAAGTGAACAATATTTATGGCAATCAAGCCCCTCTTGGGATTTATAGAATCTTCATGACATTTTCAAATGGTTTCTGATGCAACTTTTACTAATTCTACATTACGATAATTAAAAACAATAAGAAAAAAGTGACAATCACAATAATGTGAGACTCTAGGAGCAACAGTTAAATTTTGCCAAAATCAAGCATACATGTAAGTCACAAATTGAACTAGGGAAGTCATTTTCAACGGTCTATAACTGGGTTCCTTTCTGAAGCAGAGGAAATTGCCGGCCGGAACGAAGGTGGCAGCCCTTCCTCTCTCCCCACTGCTTTTCCGCAGGCTATTCTACCCGCAGGCTTCACCCGTAAGAAAAGTGCACAGCCACAGTTCTGGTCTTTGAGGTGTCCAGATTATCACTGATCTTTTCCACACAAAGGCATAACTTTTTACATCTGTTTAGAAAGTGAGTTTCATGAATATAACAGGTCAGAAATTAGGTGAAAGGAAGTAGTAGTATTTTGAATCCTTGGAGGATTGTCCATAAATAAAGGATTTGTACCAAACTACATGTGAAACACTTGAAAGAATCAACAACTGGGATCTCATCCTACTGAAAAGTTTCTGCACATCTAAAGAAATCACCAGCAGAGTCAAAAGAAAACTCACAAACTTGGAAAAAATTCTAGCTGACTGTCCCTCATACAAAGGGCTTCTATCTAGAACATATAAAGAATTAAAAAATATCAGCCCCTCCAAATTCAAAGACCCAATCCAAACATGGGCAGTGGAGATGAATACACACTTCTCAGACAAGGAGATACAAATGACAAATAAATACATGAGAAAATGTTCAATATCATTAGTCATTTGAGAAATGCAAATTAAAACAACACTGAGATTCTATCTCACCCCAGTAAGAATGGCTAGCATTAAGAAATCAACCAATAACAAATGCTGGTGAGGCTGTGGAGAAATAGGAACCCTTCTCCACTGCTGGTGGGAATGCAGACTGGTGAAACCACTGTGGAAATCAGTTTGGAGATTCCTCAGAAAACTAGGTCTAGAGGTCCCATTCAACCCAGCTATTCCCCTTCTAGGTATTTTCCCAGAGGATCTAAAAACATCATGTCACAGTGATATACGTGCACCTATGTTCACAGCAGCACAATTTGTAATTGGTAAATTGTGGAAACAACACTAATGTCCATCCACCGAGGTTTGGATAAGAAAATTGTGGTACTTTCATATAATGGAATATTACTCAGCTATAAAGAAAGATAAACTCGAGGCTTTTATAGGTAACTGGTCACAACTAGAGACCATACTCATAAGTGAAATAAATCAGACCTGCATGTGCAAGCACCACATTGTTTCACTAGTGTAAAACCTGAAAGAGTTAATTTAAACTTGGAGGTATGATAGACATTGTGAAATGATAGGTAAACACTCAAGGGTAAAGGGCAACTGGGATGTGGGAAAAGGGAAGGGAAAGAAGAAGAAATTTTGTATGTATATACAGGATAGTTAACATAGTTGTTCTACTGTCTTCTATTTCTTTGCTGAAAGAAACTGTCAGTGAGTCCTTGATTGATCAATATTGCATGTCTCTGTTTTCGTGAGAAACCACTTTGAAGATATCAGTATGTAATACAACAAGCATTGTTAATTCCCTACCACTTTGTTTGTAACTCTGTATTGTCTGTACTGTTCTTTTGCTATTTTGTAAAAGGTTGTCTGTCAATGTTTTCCTCCTTTTATTTTTAAAATAATAATGAAAAAAAGGATTTGTAGGAGTCGCAGGGTTGTTAACAACAATTCTAGACACATGGTAGGACCACATCTTTCTACTCTCTTGTGGGGAGCAGTTTTACTGGTGAAGGTGAAGAAATCAATAAAATCCCATAACAATCACTTTGATATTGTGATTTCCATAGAGTACATTGGTTCCAAGATTATAGAAGGTGTATTCTTGTTCTGTGTCTTATTCCAAGTTACGCGCAGCCATGTTGTTCAGCACGGCGTAGCAGAGGCCTTTGTGATGAGATTAGCAATTCTATTACTCTGAAAATAACATACCATTGCCCAACATTTTCACATAAACAAAATTCCTTTTGTCAAATTTCTAAGGAGAAATTTAAGTCTGAAAATTAAAGTCTTTCATATTAAAGCAAAAAATATAAAGCTCCAGAGGGTTTTATGTCTGAAATCAGATTCTCTGGTTCTTCTGAGTTAAAGTTCAAAGAAATTAAATTGCGTGAATTGTGCTTCTGGTCAGTCTAACATTTGCAATGCTGAGGCAGATCTGAAGTTCCCTCGGTGCAGCTTTACCTGTCTCTCTCAAGGTGGAGGTTGTCTTCTCTTGTGAGCCTTACCTTATCATGAGGCTCCTAAAGAGCTAATGAGACAAGAGATTGACACAGAACTGTCTCATACCAATGGAGTAGGCTGGGGTGCGGGGTCAGATCAATGCCTAGGATCTAAAGCTATTATTCTACGCAAGAAAAAAAAAAGAGCAAAGTAACAGAATCTCAACATTGCTGTTGCCCAAGATCATAGCAGACTCTCAGCACCATCTTCTAGACGGCATAGGCCTTTGAAGATCTCTTGATACCAGCCTCACTGGAATGCCACTCACGCTTGGTGAGCTGTCTATCATCTATAAATACACTACAGCTGCGAGACTAGGCCTAGGGATAGGAGGTAGAGTTTATCCGTGCAAACTGCCCCCTCTCTCAGAGAGTAACATTGGAAACATTTCTGAAGTCTTCCTTTCACAACTGATAAAATTTGCCGCTTTGTATATTCACACTCTGTTCATTCTCGGGTGTCTAGTAACTGGTTACAAGGAGAGTAGATTTCACCTAAAGACAAGACTTGCATTCTTGTGGAGGAGGCGTTTTCAGCCTTGTGTGCCAGGGGCTGCTGCTCTGGCCTCTTGTCATAGGATTTAATTAGGCTCCTGAATTGTGCCTCCTACGGAAGATTTTCCCTCATCTGCATGTGTGTTTAGACCCTCTCTTTTCCCTATAACATAATCCTTGCCCCTGTTGGCCCTGCTAGCTAAGACTTCTGCAGCGTATAGCATCTTCTC